GGGGGGAGGACGGGAATCTTTTGGCTTTCCACTTTGTGCCCATGGACTCCCCCACGGCTTATTCCCACGTCTTCTAGTCACCCAAACACCGTGGGAAGCACCAGGGTGTTTTGTGTCTGGAGGACGGAGGGTGGATACGCAGAGACGTTTTCTGGGCCGCCTTCGGTCTGTGCAGTTGTGCTGATGACATGCCCTGTTCCCCTCCCTGGTTGTTCCCCACCCTCTCTCTCCGTTCTGGGGGTGGGTGGGTGATGGGGCTTCCCCTAACAAGCGTCCCCTTCTCTCTCTCCCAGCTCGGCCACACTGCCCATCACCCTGCGGTGTCTCCTGGAGAACAACCGGATTGACAAGCGGATCGTCCGGTTCATCCTCCCGGTCGGAGCGACCATCAACATGGACGGGACGGCACTCTATGAGGCGGTGGCCGCCATCTTCATCGCCCAGGTGAACGAGTACGACCTCGACCTGGGGCAGCTCATCACCATCAGGTAAGGACCATCTTCTCCTGTGCCCAGCAGGCAGCTCAGCCCTTCGATTGCTCAGACGCTGAATTTCAAAGCTGACCGGCGTCCCCCCTTGAAAACTCCTCCTCCTAAAGAAAAAGAAAAAAAACTCATACAGGAGTTAATACATTGACCTTAACCCCCTCTCTCCGCCCCACAAGGACCCTTCGGTTTGTGGGGAAAATCCTCATGGAATTGGTTAACCAATTGATCAGCATGAACATCCCAACTCTTTACCCAACTAGCATCTGAGAGGAGATATCCTTTCCATAAGACCAAATATTGCAATCGGCCATGATGTAATTTCAAATCGAGAATTTTTTGAATCTCATAATGTGTTTCCCCCTATACCATTAACGGTTTAGTGGGAGCGATTGGCAGTGGTCTTATCATTGATGCAGTAGCTGGTTTTAGAAAACTACAATGGAACACAGGTTGAATTTTCCCCAATAGTCGAGGAAGACTTAATTGGACAGTGACCGGATTGATTATTTTTGAAATTGGAAACAGACCCAAGAATGTTGGACCCAGCTTCTTATTGGGCAGTTTCAACCTCAGATACTTGGTCGACAAATATACTTTGTCCCCTACTTTAAAAAGCAGTTGAAGGGATCTATGTTTATCCGCCTGTTTTTTATAATTTTTTGCAGCTTCGTTCAAAGCTTTTTCTTGTATCTTCCCACCCTTTCTTTAATGAGTTTATCCGTTCTGTTAGGAACTTGGATGTGGGAGGTTGTCTAGGTAACTCTGGCATCGGGACAAAATCCATTCCAGTGTTGATTTGGAATGGAGTCAATCCCATGCTGGATCGGTGGCTGTCAAACTGAGGTTTTCTGGACAGAGCGCCTGCCACTAAGTTTTTCCCTCCAGGGATATATTTAATGTTGAAATTGAATCACTTGAACTATTAGGACCAGCGGACTTGTTTGGGTGATAATCTCCTAGGGGTCTTTAGAGCCTCAAGGTTCTCATGATCAGTCCATAACTCAAAGGCCTCTGGCACCCCTTCTAGAAAATGCCTCCAAGTCAACAAAGCCCATCGTAGGCGAATGCTTCTTTCTCCCAGACTGCCCACCTTCACTCTGTGTCTGTCAAATTTTTGGACACACAAGCGCATGGTATCAGTTGGCCTTGAGAGTCTTTTTGCAGTAAAATGGCTGCCACCACTACATCACTTGCATCCATTTGGAAAATAAAAGGCTTGATCATGTCTGGGTGTTGGAGGATGGGCTGAGCTGCGAAGAGGCGTTTTAAGGTCTCGAAAGCTTTCTGACAGTCCATAGTCCAAGCCAGGGGTTGACTTGGCTTTGGTTTGGTAGGTGACAGGCCCGTTTTTATTAGGTCTGTCAACAGGAGGGCAACTTCAGCATAGGACAGAATGAATTGTCTATAGAAGTTGACAAACCCCAAGAAACTTTGAAATTGTTTTCGGGTTCTGGGGGGTTGCCAGTCCAGCACCGCTTTCACCTTTCCGGGGTCCATTTCAATCCCCAGGTTGGATATTCGGTAGCCTAAGTAAATGGTCCCCAACCACCAGGCCCCAGACCGGTACCGGTCCATGGATCATTTTCTGCCGGGCCGCCAGTTTGCTTGGGTGCCGCCATCTTGTTTCAACGGTGCTTGAGAAAGTGCTTCTGGGTGAGCTTGTTGGTTGTTGGTTGTTGGAAAGCGGTGTTTGGATGCTGAAGGAATCCTCGCGCCTTAGTTTCATCGAAGTGGGGGGCAGCTTCGAATGAAGACCTGTCCCGATGGCGGTGGAATCTCACATTACTCAGGAGGAGATTAAGAAAGAGCCCGAAAAGCACAAAAAAGGTACAAAGGAGGAGTTGAAGGTGGCGGGGAGAAATGGGGGACGGCTGGCTGGCCGGTCGCTCGGCTCGCCTTGCCTTGGTCGTGCGTGCTGATGCCAGTACCGGGCCGTGGATCATTTTGTGATGCCGGTACCGGGCCATGGTACAAAAAAGATTGGGGGCCACTGGCCTAAGTAGTCCAGCGACTCTTTGTGGAATTTGCATTTTGACAGTTTCACATATAATTTGGTGGCTAGAAGTTTTTCTAGAACCTTTTGGACCAATTGAACATGTTCTTCCATGGTTTCACTGAAGATAAGGATGTCACCAGGTACACGAGGACCCCCTGGTAAAGGTGCGGGTGTAGCACCTCATTGATGAGCTGCATGAACACTGCAGGAGCCCCCTGAAGTCCGAAAGGCATGACTTTGAATTGGAAGCTACCCAGAGGGCAGTTATAAGCAGTTTTCCACTCATCTCTCTCTTTGATGTGGACCCGGTAGTAAGTTTCCCTGAGATCTAGCTTGGTGAATACTTTGCCCTTCGACAGGTGGTTCAATAAGTCCTTCATAAGAAGGAGAGGCTACATGTTTTTGACGCATATGGCGTTCATGTCTCTAAAGTCAACACACAATCTCAACCCACCATCTTTCTCCTTGAACAACATGGAGGCAGCTAATCTTAATTTGGCAGGCTCAATAAAACCTCATTCCAAATTGCTGTCAATGTATTTCCTTAATTCGGTCATTTCAGCAGGCATCATGGAATACATCTGTGGTTTTGGTAATTTTTCCCCAGGCTCTAATTCTATGGCGCAATTAGTGGCTCAATGGGGAGGTAAGACATTACACTCTTCTTCACTGAATGCTTCAGCCAAGTCTCTGTATTGGTCAGGTACCTGGGGGTTATCTGGGAGAAGGTGGGACGTCATGGATGCTGGCTCAGGCTCTGGGTTCAAGTTGACTAGTGGCTTTGTAGTGGGTGGAAGAGGGGGCAATGGGCCCAGTCCAGTGAGGATTTTTCTGAATCCATCCTCTCATTTGATCATCGGGGCCCGTTTGTCTAACCAAACAAGTCCCAGTATGATTGATTCTGACATCTTGGGGCCCGCTATGAAGCGTATGAGTTCATGATGGGGCCCTAATTCCATCTTGATCAATTCTGTCATTTGAGTGGCTGCCCCTCCCCCCAAATTAAGGTTCCATCCACTTACTCAAATCTGATTGGGCATTTTAGCGGGTTAGTCTTTATGCCCAGTTGCTCAACGATAGGGAGTCCAATAGGACATCTAGAACACCCAGTATCAATGACGGCTTCTAACTCCCCGGCCTCCCCCATGTTTGGTACCACTAATTTGACCTTAACTATAAAAGGTATGATGGGATCACTCACCATTGGGTCATCTTCTCAGGTCGGGTTCTCAGGGACATGGTGTCGATCCAGTGGTCCATTGCTCCCATCTGCACAGAGGGGTCTTTTTCAGCTGTGTTTGGCGACTCCACCTCTGCCCGGAGGTTTTGCTTGATTCTTCACACCCTTAACAGCTGAATTAGGCTTCGACTGTGGAGCTTGTGGTACAGGAGCAAGGGCCAGACAGTGCTGCTGCCCTATGACTGGCTTGGCCACATCGGTAACATTTAAGCACCCTGGTGGGTCGGGTACAAGCAGTTTTGGCTGATCCGGTTGGCAGTCCCCTCGCCACAATTCTCTTAGTTGGGGCTGCCGGAAGGGGTTTCCTGTGTGGGTTGATGCTGCGATCTAAGCTGAACAATGTGACATACCACGATTGTAAGGTCTCTGGGATTCCCCTAATTTCACAGGGCTTCTTTACTACTGGATCAATGGCTTTTTTAAAAATAATGTAAATTCTTTCAGGCCAATCCATGATGTGGCTTGCAACCCTTCTAAAGTCCCAAATAGATTCTGACAAGGGTCGAATTACCTTGCCTCATTTCCATTATCCTCTCTTCATTCTTTGCTACCCTGTCTGGATTTTCAAATCTGAGCCTTAATAATTGAATAAATCTGTTCACATTGTATAATTCAGGGGCTTGTTCATTGTGTAGTTGGGCCACCCAGTCTGAAGCATCCCCTTCCTTCATCCCATTTGTTATGGCCATAACCAAATCATGCTCTGTGGCGAATTGATCTCCAAATTGTTCTATATGGGATCGGATTCAAGTGAAGAAATAATTGAAATGGTCATGGCAACCATTGAATATGGCCTCAAAGGGTATTTGTTCCGGCCTGGATCGTGGTTGCGGAGGTGGCACATGCCAGGCCCCTGCAGGTTGTACCGGAATGGAAGGAAGAGGCCGGGTGGTGTACATGGGCTGAGTAGGTCCCCTGACTCCTGGCTGGGTGGTACCTCTCTGGAATAGGGGTCCCTGCTGTCAGTTGAGGCTGCAATTGTGGTTGCCAGGAGGAAGATGGGGGTGGCCTGGTTACCTGGTCGGGTGGAGAGGAAGTGGCTGCTGTCTGCTGTCTGGGCAACCCCCCCTCAGACCAGGACTGTGTTGGTGCTGGCTGCCATTGGCACTGAATCCACCCCTGGCCTGGATAAAATCCCCACCCTGGAGGGATACTCTCTGCAGGGGGTAAAATTCCTTCTGGAAAATGAGGGGATTGCCTCTGAGGCTGCAACATACCTCTGTTAGTTGAAGCTTCTTTCTGGCCTCCTCCAACTGGCATCTGTATAGTCTCCTCGTCCCTCACAATACTTGGGTAAGTGAACATGGGTGGTCTCAAGCTTCCACCCGTCCAAACAGACTGTGAGACCAAACACGTCACCTTTAAATTCTGGAACTGTTGATGTAAATCTGCCCTTGATGGACTCCCGGGATAAATCTTGGGGGTGTCTTCTTGGGAGAATTCCGACCCCAATTGTCTCTCTTCCCTCCAATCTGGCAGAATAGCCATATGCCTGGGGCTAGAGAAAGATTTTCTCTTCAGACAGCTGGGTTACATCTGGGTTATAACAACTTCTTGAGTTGAAACGCTTTGGTATAGCTCCCAAATCTTTTTCTCCTACTGCCATCCTGAAAGCATCCATCATCTCCTCCAAAGAAGGGCTGGCAGGTTCAATTAATGCTCCGGAAGGAGGGCCCCCACATGCCCCCCCCCACCGCACATCTCCAACTTCGGCTGAGTGTTGATCTTTCTCCATCTCTGGGAAAAGAACTCCGGGGTATCAGCCAAGCCCCTTTCAAAAAATAAAAGATGACTTTGGGAAATAAATGTAAGGCATCCAGAAAGCATCCATGATATCAAGCACTCTGAGACATTTTCTCTCCAATTGATTTATTTAGAAACAGATCTGGCATGTCAAAGGCAATTTCCCAAAGTGAAAATTTTCCGCGCGTTACACAGAATCTGCCTTCTCTCCTCCCTTCTCTCCTCCTACACTTTATAAATCACGAGAACCAATAAACTGCCACTGGAATGTCTTAATACGACATACAGAATAATCTTGGATTTTTCAACTCCTCCAACTCTCTTTAAAAAAAAAGGTGGCAGCTGAATTTCAAAGCTGACACTCTGCTGAACGAAACTTCTCATCGGTGACAGGAAGGGCATCCAGCCATGAAACACTCTGCTAGCTTCACTCCGTTGCTCAGGCTCTGCCCCGCAAGGGATCACGGGGTCGTTAAAAGAAGATGATGAGGATGATATTTGGGGTAATTTTACGCATGTTTCAGTCAGCCGTGGCTTGCTCAACAAGCATTGTTTGGCAAGGTCCCCCTGGCTTCCCAGCCCCCCTGCTTCTCTCTGTCCCCACAGCATCACAGCCACGGCCGCCAGCATCGGTGCCGCCGGGATTCCCCAGTCGGGCCTTGTCACCATGGTCATCGTGCTCACCTCCGTCGGCCTCCCCACCGAAGACATCACACTGATCATCGCCATTGACTGGGCCCTGTGAGTCTCCCCCCCCCCCATCCATCCCCTCGCAAGCGACTCTCGGCGTGTGCCTGGCATTTCTACCCGTTTTGGGTGGGGTCGGTCAAAAGAGCAGAGCTGTGAGCTGCTCCAAGAGCAGATTGGTATCAATTAATCAAGATATCCCGCGGGGCAGGTGCTGAACCAGGGCGGGGGGAGCGTCTGCCCTGGTGAGGAAAAGGGCATTCACGGGAATTGAGCCTTTGGGGAGGGAGGGGTACAAAGCTCGGGATCCGGTCTTTGATCCGCACGCTGGAAGCCCCCAAAGTCCAGCCTGGTGGGAACCAGCATTGACGCCTCTTGGAGGACACCCCAAGTAGATGTCTGCAGTGTTTCTCCGTCATCCGGGTCATGGCTGTCCCAAAAGTGCTTTTTTTCAAAAGGCAACTAGATTTTCTGGGTTTTTTTTTCCCTTTCAAGAGGTTTCGCTTCTCCTCCCAGAAGCTTCTTCAGCTCTGACTGGATGGAGGGGAATGGAAGGATGGATACCCCTTGCAGACAAAGCTAGTCATTTGCATCCTTTTAGCGAGTCATTGAGGCCACTTGGAGGTTTGTCTGTGAAGATCACCTTGGAACTGCGGAAAGGACCCTGTTGTAGACCGGAGACGGATGACGTCCTCAGCGGTTCCTAGAAGGCTCCACCCCCATTTGCACCACTCGGGTGACCCCGAGGACACAGGCAAACCACCAAGTGGCCTCAATGACTCTGAAAGGATGCAAATGACCAGCTTTGTCTGCAAGGAGTATCAATCCTTCCCTTCCCCACCATCCGGTCAGAGCTAAAGAAGCGAAACGTCTTCAAAAGAAAAACCAGAAAGTCCAGTTACTTCTTGAAAAAAAAGCCCCTTTGGGACCCCCAACCAGATGTGGAAACTCCAGCTGTTCCTTTGAGGACGTCTTCCAAAGGGGGCACTTTGCCTCCTGGGACCCCCTGTGAGGGAGGGAGGGATCCCCAGTTGATTCCTCTGCGCTTCCCTCCCCAGGGACCGGTTACGCACCATGACCAACGTCCTGGGCGACGCACTGGCCGCCGGGATCATAGCTCACATCTTCCGGAAGGAGTTCGCTCCAAAGGTAGGCCCAGAAAAGGGTTGGAGCCAAAGCTCCAGGAGCACCGAGGGCGACGGCTGACTTCATTCTCTTTCTCCTTTCTCTCCCCCCACAAAGGAGCCCGCGAACGAGCAGCTGGTCTGGGCAGAGGCCGCCTCCTCCCATCCTCCGGAGCCCGGGGTGCAAGAGATGGAGGAGGCCCTGGCTGGACAGAACGGTCACTGCATCTGCGAGGTCTGAAGGCCCCGGTCCCCACCACCGGTGACATCCAGGGGGCTGTTGGGTCCCTATGACCCTCCAGGACCCCCCCACACAGGAGCCTCCGAGAAGGAAGACCAAGGAGACAACCCCTCTGCTCAGACAACCCCTCTGCTCAGACAACCCCTCTGCTCAGCCCCCTCCTCTCCCGAAATCCCTTTAGGTGAAGCCTGGATCAGCCCCCTCCCCCAAAGAGATGCCTCAGAGGTTGCGGGACTTTCTGAAAAACGAATATTGCATTTGGGGCCCATTTGGATTGTCGGCGGCTCCTTTTTGTCAATTCTGCTTTTTTGATAATGAAAGCAAAAACTTTTCACCGGCTTTCTTAGTCTTTAACCCTTCGAACAGACCGGCTGTTGTGGCCCGCTGGCTGCTGGCCACTGGCAGAAGAGCCAGACAATAGTGAGGAGGTTGGGGAGGAACCCAGGCCGGTCCTGGAGGCTGAGGAGGGCTCAGTCGAGGGCTCTGCATCCGAGGCAGAGGTGGGGCCAGGACAGGCTGGCAGTCAGCATCTGCCTTTGGGCTCAGACAGCCGTGAGGCGGAGGAGCTTCTGGAGCCGGTTCCCAGCCTGCGCATGCACAGAGCTGCCAAAAGAAAGACACAATTAAGAACCCAGGGTCGACATGGGAGTAAGGCCACAGACGGGTGATGAATGGCCCCTCCCCTAGGGATCAAAAGAGGAGCAAAAGGGGAGGGGGGCTTTTGCAGGAAACAATTCATTCGTTTGTTTGTCTGTTCATGAAGATCTGTCTGCATAACCGAGCCCTTCCCTGTCAGCACCGAGCGTGGAACTATTTACCGGGCAGCGTCCCAGGATTGATAAAGGTCTGAGCTCATTAGTCTACCTTCTCAAGTCTGTTTGCCTGACTGGCAATGAAATAAATTCACATTAACGTCATAAAAGAGGTTTTTGCCAGGGCTCAGAATTGATTTATTGCTTTTTGGAGAAGGCCGAGGACAAAATCCCAGCCAGGTTTCTGGTTCTAAAAACTAAGAAGTGTCTTTTCTAAGCAGGGGAGGAGACGACACGAAAGAAAATGTATCTTTGCCAGCAGGCCACCGGGGGAGGGGGAGCTTTCCAAGGGCTTCCCACAAGTATCCAGCCTGCCCTTGATGGCACAAGCCCGCACAACACACACACACCCAAACACGCACAGAATCGGTAGAGCGTCTGAGTTGTGAATCCACGGAGGACAATCGATCAGTGGAACAACTTGCGTTCAGAAGTTGCGATTGCTCCATCTCTGGGACAGGGCAGTCGCTTGCCTGGAATGATATAGGGTCTCCTGCCTGAGCAGGGGGTAGACTAGAAGACCTCCAAGGCCCCTTCCAAATCTGTTAGCCTCTATTCTGAGTCCCTGTGGAAAGGGGCAGCAAGGAGAGGCAGGAGGGGCTCAGTCCTGGCTGAGCTCATGCTGAGAAGAATCGCAGGGGTGGGTGGGAGGAATGGGGAGCCCCTGAGGCAGAGCGGAGGGGGGTCGTGGGGCTGATGCTTCTCCGTCTTAAGGGGGCACGTCCTCCCTACCACGAAAGCAGGAATGTTCTCAACGGCTGCAGGTATTTTATGCACCAATTCACATCCGTGGCTGATTAAAAAAAAAATCGTAGCTGAGCACAACCAATATGGCTGACTTCCGGAAGAGACACCTCCCTCTGCAGCTCTCACCTTTGCAGGTGAGCCCAGGATCTCTTCTGGCCCCAAGCAGGAACTTCACAAAGAGACCTCCCATCCCATAACTCTGTGAAGCCGTTGCTCAATTCAGAAGCATCTTTGCTCCGTCAGGAGGAGGCCAAAGGTCCCGAAATCTCAAACGGAACTACTTCAGCTCTCATTTCCAATATTTCGAGTGAGCAGCTGAAGGATTTTCCTCTGCTGGTGCTCAGAAATGATTGCACTAAACGTTTGGCTCAACCACTTTAATGTGGTTGTGTGTGATAATAATCAAAAAACTGGAGACATGTGAACAAGAGCTTTATTATGAAGCATTTGCAAAAGGGAATTCTGCTCATGGGCAGAGGACATGGTTCCCAGGAAGGCTGGGGTTTATATACAGGTTCAAATATACAGTCTCTGCCCCTTTCCTGGGTTCACAATCTATCCAAGCTACGTATCTCCCTACGCCACACCCATATTATTATAGCAGAACACCTGTTTCCTTGTCCTTGGAAACTACCCTCATTCTCATGGCTTCTTCCTGTTATGATCATCTGTAATACAATAGAAAATTAACCAGTTCCTTTTCGGTCAGGATAACCTAGTATCTCCTACACATATCCTTATGCCAAAAAATACAGGCCCATGTTCTAGCCAGAAGCCTGATATTTACTGTAGAACATAAGTTACAAAACAGTACATGTTTATTAGATATAGTTATATAACTGTCCAATAATCATTGCATAATTCAAATATCGGATAAGTATGGCTTCCCTTCTGTTCTTCGTTTCCACAGGTGTAACTCATAATATGTAATTTCTACGTGTAACATTGTGAAACTAGAGTCATGATTCTGAGGGAGAAGATCAGGAACATCAGCGTCAGAAAAGGCTGAGGGACGTGGGACATCATGGCCGATGCATGTTGGGTAACTGAGAAAGCCAGGGGATTCCAAAAAGGAATGACAATCAGCTTCAATAATGATAGGCAGGATTTGGGTTGATCACGTCAAGGGGTGGAATGACGTTAAGTTAGGACACTCCAAATTTGGCTACTTAAGACTTGTGGACTTCAAACTCCCAGAATCTCCAGCCGACATAGCCCATTCTGAGAGCCAATTCTGGGAGTTGAAGTCCACAGGTCTTAAAGTGGCCAAGTTTGGGGACCCCCTAGGTTAGGAGAACCCCAGAAGGTTGTCTTGTCCTGGGGACAAGAACCTGATGTGGAAGTCAGGAAGCTTCCGGATGGCCAGAACACCGAGAAGCAGATGGGCTCTAGGCTGGCAAAAAAACGGGGTGGACAGGAGACGAGGCTAAACCCACTCCCCTTACTTACTCAACCTCTGTGTAGAATAGATATCAAGGAAACCGGATTGTAAGAAGATGAGCTTGGTGTTAGGGATACACCCTAGCAGAATCTGCACAGCAGTCAGGCAGGCAGGCAAAATATGTGAGATAAAACGTTTTTGTAGCTTACACTCAGTAAAACAGATACACTGTGCTAGTTAAATAGTTTATTCCAGCCAGAGTTTTAGCATAGTCAAAAACAGTCCATATATCGTTCACTAGTTCAGTCCGTCCGGGGATTATTCAGTTGCAAAGTCCAGTGTCGAAAAAGAGGTCAGTAAACTTACAAATATCAGTCCAGTAGTATATCTCCTCGCAGTAGAGATATGAAGAAGTCAAAACTCCTTTCTTCCTTCAGCAACTCAGCAGTAGGGAAACACGCAGTTAACAAACCATCAATCCATCAAACCATCAATCGTCAGCAATCAATCAGGTTCTCTTGCTCCCTCTTATGGCGGTTTCACACCGCACCCAAAATTACATGCTTTGCAGTTTAAAGTGACACACACTTAAACTTACTATCATAGTTTATATATATTATTTTACCCAAACTACTTGCAAAGTAGAGGAAGGAACATCAACAACCTTGGTAGCTTGTGATGACACTATCTTGATAGCCTAAAATGCACAGGAACTGCAGGCTTTAGTAATAAAAGTCGAAAGAAGGTTGTGATGACCCAAAGGGGTATTGCACAAAGGCAACACAGTGTTCTGACCCAACCAGGTTCCCAACAAGCAAACACAGACAAAGGCAGCAGCCCCCACCCTTTAAGGTTTAATAACGAGTTCTGTTCTGAAGGCTGCTTTCCACTAAGTAGCTCCGACAAGAAAGAGCCTGGCCAAGTTGTTTGTCAAGGCTGCCAGAAACCCAGAGATAAGGACTCATTTACAAGATTCTCCCAACATGAACTAAGATGTCCACCAGTTGAGCTTCAGAGCTTCTTTGCTATCTGCAAAGAATGTTTTTCCAAACCTGGCTTTTATCCTCTTGAAGGAGGGGCCATTACCTTGCAGCCTTACTCCTGAGTCGCCTGTGCTGCTGTCATTGTTCTTTCCTCCGAGTAATCCTTCGTGCACGGGCACTTGGCACAGGCTCCTTGGGAACCTCCTCGTCACTGCTGCCAGCCCCCACAATCTCTGAAGGCAGCAGTCCACTCCCTGAGGGTCCCGGCCCCTCATCTGAGTCCTCGCTCTCCTCAGCCATCTGCACCTGCTGCCAGCTACCACAACACACAGTCACATAAGTAAGAAAAGTCCCTTTTAATACCTCCAGCTTTGCCCTCAATGTCCAGGTTACCTTTGGCTGGAGAAAAAACTCCCAAGAACAGCCTTTAAGTGGAGGACATTCAGTCCGAAAACATAGTACATACAAACTGCAAATAAAAACCCACACAAACCAGGCTGCAGCAATTAACTTGACAGGGCAGGATAAGAAATTTCAGGCTTGAAAGGCCAACAAAACACACACAGTTGGGAAGACGCCAGGAACCCAGATAAGCCTCGACAAACAAAGATAGCTCACAGTTTGCTTCCAGCAACTTTGCTGTGCGTAGCTTCCCTTTTTAAATACTGTGTTCCCAGCTGCAACTAATGAAGGGAATCAGGGCCCTTCCCTCCCCCGTAAGCCATGCAACTCCCGTTGCTCCCTTCTCCGTTCCTCCCTGTGTGCCCTAGGATGAAGAGGGGGGGGGCTGGATCCTCCTCTGAACTCCCTCTGCCCTGCTTCACCTCTCCCCCGCTCTGCCCTGCTGGACTTTGCCCTTCCCCAGTTTCCTCCACAGCCAACGGAGCCACACTCCCGCTCCCTGTCAGCTGCTCGGCCTCCCCCTCGGAATCAGATTCCGGTAGGGGCATGGCAGAACACAGTGGAAAAAAAGAGAGTGATATTAAATATAAACAAAACTAAAATAATCATAGAACGACCAGCCTCAGAACTCAGATTGAAATGAGAACCAACGGTGTAGAACCAAAGGTGTTTTTTCAAGAGGCAACTGGACTTTCTGGTTTTTCTTTGAAGACATTTTGCTTCTCGTCCAAGAAGCTT